GTTCGTCAGACCGCCCTCTATTTTGTATATAAGCTCGGCAAATAAAGCGGAGATAAGAGCAGATAGCAAATTGCAGATAGAGAGATATAGAGACAGATAATTGAGTCAAGTGAGTGGTAGTGACCATAAGTAAAGTGCATGAATCATTGTGAATTATAGCGTGTGTTTAAGTTAAAGTAACTGTGGAAATTCTGTGTATTGCAAAGTTGTATTGAGAAAGAATAAACTAGTTTTATTTAAGAAAGGATTTGTATCCCTGAAGTTCCTTGGGAAGAATTTATACCGGAAATTAACAAACTACCAGAGACGTAAAAATATCAACCGTTAGGCTTATATTAATTGTTAGACCTTCCACTCCTACAATGATTACCTTTGTGCTTAACTTTTCTTTAACTGAATTCCTTCTTGTATCTTTACCTCACACTATTTATATGTTTATTACTTAATCGTCTGCTTGCTATATCCTCAAAATCAATAAATTTCATGCAACGTTTGATAATCTCGACATTAATAAGTTACAAGCACAATGTACGTCTTTTACAAATGTACATAACTAAACTTGTCATAACATTTACTTTAAAATGATTGCTTCTAACTCTCTTGTTATAAACAAAACTAAACAACCATAAAATATTCACTCAAAAATACATTAATCAATAACAGCTACACTAAACAGTCTTTTATATCATGACATTATGCTTACATAAAAAATCAGAATATCTTTAACAACTATATGGTGTAACCACAAATCCCACTCTCTGATCTTTTATTCACAGCTTACCAGCTGAAACCTTTTTCTTTGGTGGAGAAATATCTATATGTTCATGAAATGTTTCTCCATTCAGTGACTTGATTTCCAATTGTAAAATCTGATTATGAATAACAAGTTCTGTACAAATAAAACAAACACAATTACAGAAAAAAGTTTTGATAATCTATAATCAGTAACTGTCAAACTTCATACATATATATCTTAAACCAACATTTAAATGTCAAAACCTTTACACATTTTTAAAAGAATAATTTGAAATGCATGATTTACTTTCATATATTCAAGAGTATGTTGACTAAACATATTTTTACAAAGAAATATTGATATATATTTATTTTTTCTGTCCCACTGAC